TTGTTCCCACCCAGCATGATCCTCCTTCCCATAACTCACAGCCCCTTTTCTCAGAAACCTCCCAGAAGAGTCCTCTGTATCTTCCCTCTCCACCGCTCGGGCAAAGGACTTTCCTGATCTCTTTTTCACTCCTTCATTTTTCAAAAACTTGATGTTTAACTTACATGCGGTAAAACACACAGATCTTAAGTGTACAGTTCAATGAGTTTTGACAAATGTAAATACCTCTGTAGTCCACACAGAATAAGGGTTTGATTGTTGCCTTTTTTTCTTTTTGCCCCTCTTAGGTTGTTTTGGCATCTGTTGATAAGGGGGAAGAGGATGGACGGGAGGAAGGTGGACATGGGCAGCAAGAGGAAATGCACAGAGAAAGCCACGGGAACGTCTGCCACCTGCAGCTGGGGACCAGAGGGATGGAGCAAAGTCCAGCCAGGCTGAGATGTGGGTTTTCTTCCCTTCCACCCTGAGGCCCAGAATCTTTGCAACCCAGAGAGGAAGCAAGCAAACCCCGGCCCAGCCCTGACAGAAGCTCCTCATGGGGCGAGATCTGTGATGGTCACCAGAGGGGGCCAGCCATGTCCTGGATCCCCCCAGGTCTTGCCACCTGGTCTTCCCACCCGCTCTTCTCCTGTTTTGATGACACAGGGAGAACAAATGACATTTTGATTTCTCCAGAAGCCAGTGGGCCTGGTGCCCTGAGGAACTGTGTCCTCTGCACAGACGAGGCTGGAAAAACTGCTGCACTTCCTGTTCCCACGTGCTTCCTTCCCCAGGGGAGGGCAGTCAAAATTGGCACAGGGAGGCTCCTTGCAGAAGCCAACTCCCAGGCTCTGCCTCCCTGCCACAGAGGCCACAACGGATAAGGCTTCCACAGGCTTTCGAGTCCAGGCCCTGACTTACCAGAAGCCTGCAAGGACAACTCCTTCCCAAGGGGGCAGGAGGTGGTCAGCAAGTTTTCTGAGCACCTGCCCTGCCCTCCCACACCTCCACTCTGGATTCCCATCTCAGTGTGAGCTCCAGGAGCTGTGTCTGTCTGACACTTTACTGGATGCCTGACACACACCAGACACTCAATAAATGTTCATTGAATGAATAAATTAATGAAGCCTAGCAACTACTTGGATGTACGTTTTTCCTTCTGGGTATGCCTTGTCCTATGTATAAGGCACTGAGTACAGTGAGATCTTATCTCAGCCAGAGGACCGGGTGGGTCAGATTAAATCTTTCAGCACTAAGAAAAAAGAAGACATAATAAGGGACCAGTCAGAGGTGATGGAAGGGACAATGGGACAGGATTCTGAACACCCACTTTCTGGTCCAGGAATGAAGCCAAGCATAACATCATGGTTAGAATTTGGAAGAGTAGAGTCAATAGCAAAAAGGGTGCCAAATTCAATGGACCCTCCAGGGGCAGAAGTCCCCAAGAGCAAACAGGAGTTAACCAGAGCCACAGGGGCTCAGGTGAAACCAAGAGCCATCGGCATGGCTCTTCTGAAGACTGCTGATCACCCTACTTCACCTCAATCCAAGTTCCAACATCAGCTATAGATGAGGCATCATTCTGAGCCGTGGTAATGAGTTTGACATTCACTAAAACAATTTTTCCAACATGTAGAGGCAGACCTTTCTCTCTCCCAAACTGATCAGCAAACGCTCAGTGCTGTATTGTTAAAGCAGGTCTGCCACCACCATTACAGTGACACAAGCTGACACCTCACGGCAGTACAGCACAGTGGTTACACACAAATTCTATTGCCTGACTGCCTGGGTTCATACTGCAGTTCTGCCACTAGTGACCCTGGGAAGGAGATATAATCTCCCTGTGCCTCAGTCTCCCCTGTTGTAAAATGGAGACTACTAATAGCACCTACTTTAGAAGGTTACTGTGAGGAGTCAGAGTTAATACAAAAAAAGTGCCAAATGCGTGTCTGAAAACATGGCTCTCACTATATAAATGTTTGGCACTGTGGTTTGAGATAGGATGAGAGCAAAGTTATTGAAAAGATGTTTCTGAAATGAGTTAAACAGGATGAGCCTTGTTACAAGGCAGGAATGTTTTTATGGAGACTTACAGACAAAGGGACGCATTGTTTTACCTAAGCACAGGCTTGTAGTGAGTGGTCCACCCACAGCTCTCCACTCTTGGGTGTGTGTCTGGAACATGAGCTAAAATAGAGCAAGACAGAGCCTTCCCGGGATATGCACAAAGAGAAAACGCCCCTTGTTAAAGCCACTTGCATGGAGCCCTGGCCCAGGGGTGAGAAGGCTCAGCTCCATCTTCCATCAGAGATTCAGTTTTTCTGTCTAGAAAAAGGGGCTGATGGGAGTTGCCCTGCCCCACTGGGGAGGAGCAGAGGCTCCACAAACTGTGAAGGACTGTGCAGAACAACAGCTGCTCCTCTCCAGCAGCTCAGGAGGAAACTGAAGAATTCTGCCCACCTAGAGTCCTTCAGAGTCCCTCTCTTGGGCAAACTTGGCAAGTCTGGGCTGGGCTTTCCTCCTGAAATGAGCCAGGCTTGCCTTGCCCTTCAAGAAGGGCCACAGGGCTTGTGTCGCCTCTGCCCTCCAACTTCCTGTGCCTCTCTCACCAGAAGTGACAACGGGCAGGGCCCCTCTCTAAATGAAGGGCAAAGGGGTTCCAGCATTGGCTCTCAGCAGTGCTGTGCACTGTCAAAACAAACACAGCTGTGGGCCAATGTCATGGCCAGGATTTGGCAACTGGACACATGGATTCTAATCTCAACTCGGCTGCTTATCTGACTGTGTGACCTCTCACATGACACTCTGCTCGCTGGCTTCCTTGACTCTAAATGGGAAGAGTCCACCATTGCTTTGTTACCTTCTTTGCAGTGGTGGTGTGGTCCAAATGGGAAGGTCACTATCAACAAGTCCAGGCCTGCATAAAAACCAGTTATTGTTACAGTCAGGTCTCAGTCTGTAAGATCCACCCTTTCCTTGGCTTTCTTATTTTCTCTTTAAAATTGAGCTGGGATTGTGCATTGAACCAAATCTGGCTGTAAAGTCCCTGGTTCCTCTGTCGGTCAAGGACACGGCCGAGGCCTCTGTAGGAATGAGAGGGCCCTAACTGCTCCTGAAGACCCCTTCTCTAGGGCTCCAGTGTCCTGCCCACTTCAGACCTGCTCCTCCCCAAGCCCCCAGCATGGTCTCTGCAGCACTTGAAGTGAGGCTGAGTCTCTATGGCACTTAACTGAATTTACCTTCAAGATATTTCCAGAATTTAACCCCATTTCAGCACCTTTCCCACTGCGATCATGGTCTGAGCCACCACCACCTCTCACCTAGACATTCAGAAGCCCTCCGACTAGTCTCCCTGCTTCCAGCCTTGCCCCCTCAGTCTATTCTCAGCACAGCCGTCAGAGGGGCTTTTGAAAATGACAATCAGAACATATCACTAATCTGCTCATGCCCTTGCCATGGATCCCCACCTCCGAGAGTAAAAGCCACACACCTGCAATAGCCTACAAAGCCCTTCTCCTGCCATTCTCAACCTCGGCTGCACATTGAAATCACCGGGAGTTCTATACAATACTGATGCCGAGTGCCACCCCCGGAAACTCTCGTCTAATTGGCCTGGGGTGTGGCTCCAGCATCAGGGTTTTTTTAAAGCTCCCCTGATAAGTTGAATGTGTATCCAAAGTTGAAAACCACCACCCTACTTGATCCGCTTCCTGTTGACCCCAACCTCATCTCTACCTACTGTCCCCTTGCCCACTCTGTTCCAGCCACACAGGCCTCCTTCCTCTTCTTCAAACATGCCAATACACTTCTACCTGAGGGCCTTTGCACTTGCCAGTCCTGTGGCCTGGAAAGCCCCCACCCTGCAACCCCGTGGCTTACTTCCTTATCTCCTCCAGGTCTTTGCCCAAATGTCACCTTCTTAATGAGGACTTCTTTGACCACCCATGAAAAATTGCACCCCCCTCACTCCCATCCCAGGAGGTCCCTACCTCCTTTTCCACTTTATATTTCTCCATATCACTTAACACCATTGAACATGCTAAGTATTTGACTCTTTTGTTTTGTTTATTATCTGTCCCCAACCAACTAGAATGCAAGCGCTGCAAAGACAAGGATTCCTGTCTGTTTTGTTCACTGCTCTATCCCTGTACCTAAATGATGCTGCCACATAATAAGTGCATAATAAATAACCTTTAAGTGAATATGTGCTCTTCTCTCCTTCTCTAGATCCTCAGCTGCTCTTTCATTCCTATAGCCCGGCCAGGTTCTCCCTAGCCAGGAACAACCATACCCAATTTTACAGCCTACAGCAGGTGCTTAATAAATATCTATGGAGCTGAACTGAACTCTTCTCCCTAAAAGAACACCCTCCCAACCCAGCAGCAAGATCTTTCCTAAAGACTCCAGATATAAACTCACTATGGTTTGCAGCTTTAAGAAAATTTTAAAAATAGGGAGAAAGGGGAAAATAAGGTGTGGGGGGAGCTCACAAAAGTTAATGAGATTTTCTCAGCCGTGGTACGTGCCCACATTTTTAATAATTAGGAGTGATAAAAATTCTAACCAAACCTTAAAGGCACATCCTTCTGTAACAAAGACAGAAGTCAAGACAGACTTCTCTGTCAGGTGTAATGACTTGCTAGCCCTGGAAGATGGATGTACTTTAAAAAACTAATTTACAGAAAAAAGTAATTGTTCATAAAAATGCAACTAATTGGGTTAAGATGACATATTAACAGGAATGCCAGATGATTCTAGTGCCCTTAAGGAGTAAATCAGGTTATTAATCCTTGAAATCTCTAATGGGAGAAAGCCTTCCTGCTACTCAGCAGATGGAGAAACTGAGGCTGTGGGAAGAGGAGAGTGACGAGCCTAATGCCGGCCTTGGTGACAGACCCTGGCTGAGGCAGGAAATGGATCTTGGAGTCCAGATGCCCAGTCCTGGTTCTGCTCCCAGCACTGTGGGGACCCCATCTCCCCACAGGCAGGCTGACAAGGGCCCATTCACCGACTCTGCTCACCCACTGGGTCTGAGGTCAGGCAGGGGCCGGTTGAGAGGCAGGCGGTCACTGAGGTAGGCGTTGTAGCCGTAGTACTGGAACTGCTTCAGGGCCACGCGCCGGCCTTCAGGGCTGAGCTCCTGGCCCCAGTGTGCAAACAGAGAGGAGTCTGTGAAGGGCTCAGCCTCTGCCTCCTCAGGCTTGGCGGGAGCCTCTGGAGAAAGAAGGGACAAGCAGACAGTGGGTCAGAGTGCACCCCTGCATATGCCACAACAACCCTGTTCTCTTCCTCACAACAACCCTGGATAAAACAATCTTAGCTCCTTCTCTGGCAGGTCGGGGAAGATTAGAATTTTCATGCTTCCCAAAGATTCATTCATTCACGAATCCCTCCATTCATCCAACAACATCACCACGTACAAGGGATACAGAAATACACCCCACAGGGTCTGCCAAGAAGCTGATGGGTGTGACCCTGATGCTTCATGGCTTCCAGGCAGAACCCCTCCTTTCCCAGTCTGCCTCCCTGCCAGAGACATTGGCCCCAGCTCCTGCCACTGTCTGGTCCTGCTGTGAGCTGCCTGGCCCCACCATGAGACATTCACTTGGCTGTGAGGACCCGCTGCCAGACTGCCTCCTGTTGCTTCTAGACTCTGCACACCAGAATAGGGGGAATCAGTGACACAGGTGACAGCCAAGCCATCCCCAGCCCACCATGTACTTGGGCATTGCTCATTGAACGCCTGGTGAACTTTTTAGAAACAATCCCACACCAGGTCAAGGACAGCTCACAGTTTCCCAGGAACTTCTCACAAAAGTGGAGGGGGAGTTATTAGCAATAAGAGCAGAGGCTTTGAATTCACACAGTCATGGATTTAAATCCCTGCTCCACCATGCTCCGCATGACCATAGCAAACACTCAACCTCCCTAGGCCCAAATTTCCTCACATGTAATGTGAAGATATACTATCCACCCACCCCCAGAGATTTGTGAAGATCATATCAAATAATGTATATGAAGCACTTACATCAGCATATGTCTCAGAATAAGTGCACAGTCAATGGTAATTAGGATTATTACAGCAGGGAAGGTTGTATAATCTCTCCTTTATAAGGGGGGTAACAGATACATCTTGCCAGAACTAGGCTGATAGGCCAGGACTTTGGAATTAGTATCCTGGGATAGATAGTCAGGAAAACCATTCAAGGTCTTAAATCAGAGAAATTGGACAGATGCCACGCCCACTGGACAGCGCCTTCTGTGCTCATCAACATATGAAGTAAATAAGAGATGGAGCCAGGAGCCTGAAATGAGACAGAGACCAGAGAAAGTAGAAGCAGGTCAGGAACAGGACAGGCAGCATCAGGACACCTGCCGACGTCCCCTCAGTGGTCTGCATGGAGCCAGTGGGTACATGGCACACCTAGCAGTACAGGCTGGAGACAGGCAAGGGGCTAGGTTCTGGGGTGTTCAAGGTTGGGGAGCTCAGAGCTACAGACCACCACCTCCTGTTAGGACACACTCCTAAGAGCCAACCTGGGAGAAAGGAAGAGGTCTAGGAATAAAAAGGGAACCTTCCAACACCCAGGCTCCTCCTAACCTGGAAGGGTGCTCCAGCGGTAGGAAGCCCCACCACCAGAAGTGCACAGAGGCCACCATGGAGTAGGAGGAGACTTAGCCCATGCTTCCAAAAGCAGAGAGAACACACTGGAGCCAGAGACCTTAGTGAGAGAGATGCAAAGAGATGTGTAAATGGGTTCCAGGCACTGGGCGAACTCACTGGGTGAACATGCATGAGTCACTCTCCTCTCCACGCCGTGTCCTCTACATTGACACGCACGTCACCCCTGGGATAACCGTTGAGCTAACACTTGCTGAGTGCTTACGCTCACCGTGAGCCAGGCTCTGCTCTGAGCGCTTTCCACACATTAACTCAACTCACCCTATAAGGTAGGAACTATTGTCATCTCCATTTTATAGACAAAGAAGGTGAGGCCCGGGAGGATAAGACACTTGCCAAGGTTCACACAGAAGGAAGTGGAGTAGCTGGGATTCAGTCCTGGGAAGTCTGTCTCCCAGGCAGTGGTCCTACCACGGCGCACACTGCCTCTATATGGCAATGGGCTGGTATATGTGCGAATTCCACAGACAAACATGGTGTATCATCTTGGTTACCGATTTTCCTTAGAGATATGAAAGGAAACTGAGACACAAATAACAGATCAGTACATATGGAGGAATAAAATGCAACCATGCATGCATGGCTGTGGCAAGGCGAGAGTTTTCAGGATTGGGGTGGCTGCCTAAAGCTCCATCCCAGAACTCGGGATGCACTTGCTCATTCTCCTCTCCCAGGCTGCTTGAAGAAAAGCATGAGCCTGCATGATCTTGAAGGTCCTTGTTATCTCTAAAAAGATGTATGACTCATTCATTTGGGACGGGGGGTAGTAAAAACCTAAATCAGTGAACCAACTGAATCATATAATATTTAAAAGAAATGTAGTTTTATTGCTCTCAAATACCCAAATGGATTTTACTAAGTAAAATGAGATCAGTTAATGAAAAAATTATGGTTCAAAATTAGGCCTGAATTGCATAATAATGTATCCTAAACATATTAAAGTCCTAGGTCACACCACACGCTCCTACCTTTTTTCTCATGATGGGTGTGAATGACATAAACTCGAAGGCAGTGGGTACTGACAGATGAGTGAGGGGCTCTACAGCAGGAAAGAAGAAATATTTGCCAAATGCCTGCCAAGAGTCAAGCACTGTACTAGGTCACTTATTTACCCAAAGCTCTCTCTCTTCATCCTCACGAGCCTGACTCCATGTCTGACGTGTTCCCTGCTGTGTATCTTCGGTTCCTTGCATAGTATGGGCTCTCACAAGGGACTCAATAAATCATTTTTAAATACATTGGTTAATAAGTAACCCATAGTTAGTTATTAGACATGAGGAAACAAAAAATGAAAAGGTTAAATGACCGGTCCAAGGTCACCCAGCTTATCAGGGACATTGAACAAAGGTGTGGCTTCCTCCATATCTTGCATTTTTTCCTCTACACTACGGGTGGCAAACCATGGTTCGAGGGCTGCTGCCTATTTTTTGTAAATAAAACTTTTCTAAAATGCAGTCATGTCTATTTCCTTGCTTATATATTATCTATGTCTGCTTTAGAGCTGCAAGAGCAGAATTCAGTAGGTAAGACAGAGACCAGATGACCCATGAAGCCAAAAATACTTACTGCTCAGCCCTTTAAGAAAAAGCTTGCCAGCCCTGCTTGGCACCTTAAAGTTGACTTTCCTTAGCTACAGAGGCCTTGCCTCTGCTAACTCCATGCATTTTTTCTTTCTTTTCCAAGGAATTGGTTAAGAACACTGGCTGTGGAGTCAGAATTCTAGGGTTTATATGCTCCAGTTCTACTATTTATCAGTTTAGTCTACCTTATCCTAAGCCTCAGTTTCCTCACCTAGAAAATGGGGTTGGTAATAACAGTCCCTTCTTCAAGAACGCATGTGAGTATTAAAGCTCCTTGTAAGGAGGTTGGCACAGTGCAGGGTGTGTAGTAAGTTCTCAGTAAATGCTAGCTGCTAAGGAACCATGAAGCCCACAGCCTCATCTGGGTGTCTTTCCACTAACGTAGCTAGAGTTTGGATGGGGAAGATGACGCTGCCCTGAGGTCTCAGCTCTGAACAATGCTGATGCTGTCATCCCTACATGAAGGATCTCCATGTCCATAGACAAGTGGCCTACACTTAACAGATCCTAGACCCAACTCCCTTCTCCAGAGAGAAAGCAGACCTACAATAGTCATCCAGCAAAGGAGGACCATCTTTGACATGGGGGCACAGGCAAAGAGGCCTCAGAGAAGTGCCTGGCTGAGTCCCCTGCAGGAGTCCTGGGGTGCCTGGACACATGTAGTAATGGACAGACCCTTGGATGTCACTCGCCCAGGGACAAGACACCTCCCAGGAGTGGACTTGGGCTGAGGTCCCTGTTGGGGTTCAGATCTACTTGGGCACATCTGACCAACCGATGGGGTGACTTGAGAGAAGTGTATATCCAGGGGGCTGAGGACCCCCCAAGGGAGGGCCCATTAAAGGCAGAGGGTGAGCAGGACACATGAACTCAGCCTGTAGCCAAGCCAGAGTCTTTGGAGGAGAGTTCTGGAAGGTTCTGAGTACAACAGGGAGGCTGCTATTCCAACCCATACCTCACCATCCCCAGGCACTTGTCTAGGTCCTAGGGAGAAACAAGCTGAGAGGGAAACAGAAAGAGCTGCTTCACCAGACAGCCGTGCATGGGGCCCAAGCAGCACCTGTGTGCCAGGAAGGTGGGAAGGCTTCCCTCTGGCTTCCCTGACTCACCATAAACGACATGGCTTGGGCAGGTAGAGGAGCCCCTGTGGAGCCTGAGGACACTCCCCAACTGGGGGAGACATTACCATGCAATGTCCCTCTCTGCCTGGGACCCTCCAATAGCCTCCTGACCCCTTGTGTAGAAGACAAAGTCCCTCCTAGCACCTGCAAGGCCCCGGTGGGTGATCAGGACCCAACGAGTCCCTGGTTTTCTCCTCTGCAGCCATGGTGACCCCTCATCAGACGCATCTCAGCTCAGCGCCCTGGCTCCTGCATTTCCTTCACATCCCGGGGCTAGTGTCCCTCACTGCTGGTGCATCTCTACTCAAAAGTCACTTTCTCAGCAAGGCCTTACCTAAACCATCAGCACCCCCCCCCCCCCCCCTTTTTTTTTTTTTCCTTTTTTTTTTTTTTTTTTTTTT